GAGTACAGATTCCTCATTAGGACTATCAGATGTGCTGACACTCCCATGGCTTTACCATCCTCAGCCTCAGAGGATGGTAAATCCCCTCTAAAGAAAGTTGCCAAGAAAATCCCCTTATCAGTTTGCCTTAAGGTCGTCATAAATCGGAAACGACTTGAAGGCACACAAAGAACAACAAGCTATAGAAGCAAAGGGCCATGAGAGCACAGACATTGTTGACCATTCTTGAGTACCTCTAAATCATGAGGTAGGAATCATGAGATCCTCCAGCTGGTGCCAGACTGCAATCCCCAGCATCTACTGCCAGCATCAAGAACAATGAGGAATTCTGGAAGTTATAGTTCAACAGCATTAGGAGTGTTTTGTTTCCCATCTCTGCCCTGCAAATTAAAAGACCTTGGACCAGACTTTGGAACTTAGCCTTGAAATTTTCCCCAAACTGAGCCAAAAGGTTATGTTGGGCTCCCTTATGCAAGAGGTTGGCACTGCGAAGAAAAATATCTAACCTGATGACCACTGTCTCCTTTTTGAGATAAATTATCTAAGCAATTTATCATACAGGCTGAAACTGTAACCTTTGTTCCAACCCAGTTGTTTGTTTCACGGCACATCCCACTCTTACATGAGTCAAAACAAGGGACAGGCTCCTTCCTGCATGACCAGCACATGGTGTGTTTTTCTGATGCATGCCATTTCTTCATGCAGTTTAAATATCCAGGTGTCTAGCCTTCAGTGCTAGAGAAAACAAACCCACCTACAATTGCAATTCCAAGAGGAAGCTATTTTTAAACTTCTCGAACAGTGACCTAGCAGAGTCACTTCCAGCCTGGGCACAAGATGTGAATGCACCCTGTTCAAAAAGGAGCACCATGTAGCATAACATTTACATTTCTATACCACTTATCAGTACAAAATTGGGAGGAAGGAGCCAAATTTCCAAGGCTCCCAGATCAAGCTTAGAATACCTAAAGCCAGGACTGGGTGGCCCTTGTGGTCTCTTCCAACTGTATGATTCTATGACTCCAGTACAACTTGG